GAACGCATGTATAAGGAGCGCGAGCAGAGATAAGTGTGCTAAAGGCGGAAAATAAGGAGCTGAAGCGGAAGGCCACCGTGATGTTCCGATTTGGAGTCCGCCATATGCTGCAGTGGAGGAGCAAGGAGTAGTGATCGTGCCCAGTGGAGTGGGAAACACAGAGGCAACACTGCAAGGGCCGCCCAGGACGGAGGCAAGAAGAAGAGACCGGCGGCAGAGTAGAGAAGAAAATCTGCCTGTGGATTGTGTTGTTTTGTGTTGTTGTGGTTTTTTTTTTTTTTTTTTTTTTGTGTTTTGGTGTAAAAGTGTGATCGGGGTTGATCCCCTGAAATGAATAAAATGACAAGGTGGTGGAATGTTGTTGGTGTTTTTTGTGTTGTTGTTTTGTGTAATAATAAAATAAAATAAAATAAAACAATGGATAAAGAAAATAGATAAAAATATGTGTGGATGGGGATAAGAAAAACAGCGGTGTGATTTTTTTTTTTTTTTTTTTTTTTTGGTGGAATATAAAAAAAAAAAAAAGATATGGAAAAAAAAACGGGTGATGCTCTCACTAACAATGGTAGGGATAGGAGAAATATATTATAATAAAAATATATAATATATATATATATATTAAAATAAAAGAAAAAGGGTGAAATAACGTGGGTGGAATAAAGTAAAGAAAAGGAGGGATATGATTAAAGTGGGTTTGAAAGTGTGAAAAGATGAGAGAGAGAGAGTGGGTACAATGAGAGAGAAGAGGGATGTCATGTGTGTATGGGCAGTGTGTTGAGTGTGTGCCCATGTGCATAGGTCTGCCGACGAAGGATTGATAGAAGTCAATTTGGGTGCCAAGTGAAGCCCCCCAGTTGGAACCTGCTTGACCGAAAGCAGTCTGTGAGCTTGGTTTATAATTGTCAGTGATGGGTTGCTGAAGATTTGGGGTTTTTTTTTTGTTTGGTTTTCTCTTTTCTTCTTTATTCTCCTCAGAGAGAGAGAGATAGTGAGGTCCCCCTCTCGCCCGTCTGTACTGTCTTCTCCCCCTGTATCAACCGTGGGTCTGTGTATGTGGATGTAAGGTGTGTATCTTCATCTCCTTGAGTGGTGTTGGGTCTCCGCTTTTAGAGAGAGAGGTGGATTCTGTGTTGGAGAGTGTACCCAGTAAAGGTAGTGGAATACCAGTAACAGGGCAACCGCAGAAGCCGACCAGAGCGGCTCGAAGTGGTCAAGGCGATCGCTGTGCCTCATTACGACGACGTGCTGGCTTAGCTGCAGTCCCGGTGGCGCAGCGGCCGGGAAGGTGGCGGGGTGAAGGAGCAACCGTGGCGCCCCAGATGCCGCGGACCAGGTGGCTGGGAGCGGAGGGGATAGAATTTGTTAGGTGGCAACTTGAAGCCGCCGCGTGTGATGATGGGTTGTCGCGGCTGGTTTGGAATCTGGGCCAGACTGGGTGGGTGCACTTGTTGTAGAGTGTTATGGTTGTTGCTGAAACATCGACTGAACTGTAGGTAACGAGAGGGTAAGAAGGATGATGAAGATGAAGAGACGTCTCAGGAGTGATTCCATGGCTGAAGATGAAAGAAGCAGAGAAGGATAGAAGTGTTGTTAAAGAATCTGTCATTGAAGAAGAAATTAGGGAAATTTGGGTTTGTCCGGCGGGCGGCCAAGGCGAGATTGCCGCCCGCGGTGGAACAAATTACTAGGTTCTTAACTTGCTCTGATACCATATTAGAGTTGATGTATAAAGAGAGAAAATACAAAGAGAATTAATTGTATGTATTATGTTGATATATGTTGTATTGAATGTTGTATATTACAAATGGTGAGGGGCTCCTTATATAGGAGAAGATACAATTTACAGACAATGGACAATGATGGCTCATGATGAAAAGAGCCGAAAACAATCCAAAAGCAATACACTGTATTACATATTATATTAACGAAAGTTGCACTATATTTAGGTATATATTATATACTAACATATGGAATGAGGATAACCCTTGAAAATCCATCGGTTTCTTACTCGTGCAAAGGTGAAAGGAAAAGGAACATATAAGGAGAAGTTTCAGGAAAAGTACCCATGCCCAGAGCAGAGCTCAACCTCATTGTGCTGCTGTATGTACCTCTTCATCAAAAAAACATTAAATTAGTAAATGTGAAAAAAAATTATAGACTTGAAAAAATGAAGCTTTAAGATTCTTTTTCATTTCATTTTTGTTCAAAGAAAGAAACTCAACTAGAGTCAAGTATTGCATTGGACTCAGAACAGCAAGCCTTAAAACCAGATCTCCCCCCCCCCCCAATCTTTTTTTATATTAATAATTATTTTAACAATGCTAGGTATTATGAAAATCTTTCATGAAATAATCATGAAAGTTTTGTGACCCTTGGATTACATTAGAATAAAGCACCACACACTAATCAAGGTAAGCAAGGATCATAACTCTTCATGATCATTTTCATGAAAAATATTTCATGATTCTAACTTTTCTCTAATATTTTATTTATTTTTGTTAGCTAGCGAAGCGGGGAAGTCATTTGAAACATGGGCCGATCATGACACTTGAATCTTGGCATTGGTTGTGTAGCCTAAACTCACGAACCAAGAGTTAAATAAAAAAAAATGGAACTGGCTGAAATTTCATTCTCATGGGAAAAAAACATCACAAATTACCTTCTTAGTAAAACTTTCGGTTGTAATGTTGGAAATGGAATACATTTTCATATAGCATTATAAGATCATGCAACTAAAACAAATAAATAACAAAATAAAAATTATTGCAAGGGAGGTCAATAAGACAATGAAAATAATAATTATGCATTTTTCTTTTGAATTTCTCATGTGAAAAACGGAGAGTAGAAATTATTTGTTCTCATTTCTTTTCATTTCCTCGATTTTTCAACAATCAAATAGAAATTTCTCCATACAAGAAACAAAAGAAGTTCAAGTCTCCAGTTTACATAATTGATATGCATATCTCCGCCTCTCAAAATATGAATTGAAACACAAAAACCACCAATTAATTGTAAGAAAGATTCGGATAATGCTGAAACAGAGAATCACAAATAACTTGTAAATCAAAAGGACAAAAAGCCAAGCTAAATCTTATCAAGTAAAATTAGACCAAGTAAAGTGTGACAAGAATGTGTTGGAAATGGTTATAAAAATTCTGGATAAAATTAGAAATTTTTCTAAGTTCGGTCTATTTTTTAGGTGGGCCCCAGTGTCGATTTACTCGGTCCAAAGTGGTAACGCGTTCTATGCCGCGTTGAGATTCACGTGGTATATTTGGTTGCTCAAAACCATTATCGAGTGAATGGAAAATTGAAGCCAAGATGTGCTCCATGGAAATGGAGTTTTGGTGGAAATTCCTTAAGGTTGTAAATTGGCTTGTCCACATTGATTTGGTGGGAAGTTTTGAAAGGGTTTATAAGGCTTAAGGTGAGATACTTGGGTGTGCCCAAGGGGTACCAAGTGTTTTAGAGGGAGAGGTTATGGCAAAATGGGCTAGACCCATTGGACCCAAAAATCACCACACGGCGCGCCGCCGTCCGTCCAGTTGGGCTTCTAATCTTTTTGGGCAAAAAATATTTGAATTTAATTTTGTCGGTGAACTTCTGGCCGTAGCCGGTCGTGTGATGATGGATATGGGTATAGATGTAATAAAGGAATGAAAAGAAAGAAATAAATAAAGAAAGAAAAGAAGAAAAGAAAATGGGTTTGTGCAAAAGTAGACAGAGTCGGTGCAATATATTATAATAAACATAAATATATATAGATATATATTAAAATAAAAGAAAGTTGAGTGGGTTGATAAAAAAAAAAGGATTGTGTGTTTGAAAATGAAAAATAAAGAAAAGAAAAGAAAGGGGATCATGTGGTGAAAGAAAAAAGGAGTTGTGGGTTTGAAAAAGTAAAGTGAGAGAGGAATTTCGATGCAAGTTTTCTGACTCTTCTCAAAAACAACACAGCAGTTCCACCCACCTTATTTCACACTTTTCTTTTATATATATATATACTAAAATAATGGACCATCAAACCAAAACCAGAGGTGAAGGCAAAGCCTGTTGTTGAGGAGGTGAAAGATGAAACTACTGAAGCTACAGATGCGCCGGCTGATCCTGCCCCAGCAGAACAGGCTCTAGAGGTGAAGACAGAGGCAGCTGAAGCAACGGATGTTGTAACAATGGTGACGATCAAAGCCGTCAAAGCTCGCCAGATCTTCGACAGCCGTGGAAATCCAACCGTCGAAGTTGATGTCATTTGTAATGATGGACCTTTTGCTAGGGCTGCTGTTCCTAGTGGTGCTTCCACAGGTGTTTACGAAGCTTTGGAATTGAGAGATGGGGGTTCAGATTATCTCGGAAAAGGTGTCCTCAAGGCTGTGAATAATGTGAATTCAATCATCGGACCTGCATTGATTGGCAAGGAACCAACAGAACAGACCAAAATCGACAACTTCATGGTGCAAGAACTCGATGGGACAGTTAATGAATGGGGCTGGTGCAAATGCTATATTGGCAGTTTCACTTGCTGTATGTAAAGCAGGAGCTATGAAGTGTTGTTGAAGAATCTGCCATGAAAGAAGAAATCGAGGAAATTTGGGTTTGTCCGGCGGGCGGCCAAGGCGAGATTGCCGCCCGCCGGTGGAACGAAATTACTAGGTTCTTAACCTTGCTCTGATACCATATTAGAGTTGATGTATAAAGAGAGAAATACAGAGAGAATTAATTGTATGTATTATGATTGATATATGTTGTATTGAATGTTGTATATTACAAATGGTGAGGGGCTCCTTATATAGGAGAAGATACAATATTTACAGACAATGGACAATGATGGCTCATGATGAAAAGAGCCGAAAACAATCCAAAAGCAATACACTGTATTACATATTATATTAACCGAAAGTTGCACTATATTTAGGTATTATATTATATTACTAACATATGGAATGAGGATAACCCTTGAAAATCCATCGGTTTCTTACTCGTGCAAAGGTGAAAGGAAAAGGAACATATAAGAGAAGTTTCAGGAAAAGTACCCATGCCCAGAGCAGAAAGCTCAACCTCATTGTGCTGCTGTATGTACCTCTTCATCAAAAAAACATTAAATTAGTAAATGTGAAAAAAAATTATAGACTTGAAAAAATGAAGCTTTAAGATTTTCTTTTTCATTTCATTTTTGTTCCAAAGAAAGAAACTCAACTAGAGTCAAGTAATTGCATTGGACTCAGAACGAGCAAGCCTTAAAACCAGATCTCCCCCCCCCCCCCCACTTTCTTTCTTTACTTGTGTAGAATAGAAATGCTAGGTATTATGAAAAATCTTTCATGAAAATAATCATGAAAGTTTTGTGACCCTTGGATTACACTTAGAATAAAGCACCACACACTAATCAAGGTAAGCCAAGGATCATAACTCTTTCATGATCATTTTCATGAAAAAATTTTCATGATTCCTAACTTTTCTCTAATTATTTATTTATTTTTTGTTAGCTAGCGAAGCGGGGAAGTCATTTGAAAACATGGGGCCGATCATGAACCTTGATATGTCGGCATTGGTTGTGTAGCCTAAACTCACGAAACCAAGAGTTAAATAAAAAAAAAATGGAACTGGCTGAAATTTCATTCTCATGGGAAAAAAACATCACAATATTACCTTCTTAGTAAAACTTTCGGTTGTAAATGTTGGAAATGGAATACATTTTCAGATAATAGCATTATAAGATCATGCAACTAAAACAAATAAATAAACAAAATAAAAATTATTGCAAGGGAGGTCAATAAGACAATGAAAAATAATAATTATGCATTTTTCTTTTGAATTTCTCATGTGACAAAAACGGAGAGTAGAAATTATTTGTTCTCATTTCTTTTCATTTCCTCGATTTTCTCAACAATCAAATAGAAATTTCTCCATACAAGAAACAAAAGAAGTTCAAGTCTCCAGTTTACATAATTGATATGCATATCTCCGCCTCTCAAAATTGAATTGAAACACAAAAACCACCAATTAATTGTAAGAAAGATTCGGATAATGCTGAAACAGAGAATCACAAATAACTTGTAAATCAAAAGGACAAAAAGCCAAGCTAAATCTTATCAGAGTAAAATTAGACCAAGTAAAGTGTGACAGAGAAAGTGTTGGAAATGGTTATAAAATTCTGGATAAAATTAGAATTTTTTCTTAAGTTCGGTCTATTTTTTAGGTGGGCCCCAAGTGTCGATTTACTCGGGTCAAAGTGGTAACGCGTTCTATGCCGCGTTGAGATTCACGTGGTATATTTGGTTGCTCAAAACCATTATCGAGTGAATGGAAAATTGAAGCCAAAGTGTGCTCCATGGAAATGGAGTTTTGGTGGAAATTCCTTAAGGTTGTAAATTGGCTTGTCCCACATTGATTTGGTGGGAGGTTTTGAAAGGGTTTATAAGGCTTAGGGTGAGATACTTGGGGTGTGCCCCAAGGGATACCCAAGTGTTTTAGAGGGAGAGGTTATATCTATATGGAACAACCCGAAGGGTTTGTAGTATCAGGGCAAGAAAAGAAAGTTTGTCGACTTGTAAAATCCCTTTATGGATTAAAACAAGCACCTAAGCAATGGCATGAAAAATTTGATCATGCAATGCTTACTCACAGTGTCAAACACTGGACTTGATCAGAAAAATAATTATTTGAATTTAATTTTATTTTTTATTAAAATAAAATCCAGAATTCAAATTAAATTGGTTTGGATTTTTTGTTCATCCAAACAGGGCCCTTCCCGTTTTCAAACATAATTAAATTGGTTAGAAGTGATAGGGGTAGTGAATATGATGCACCATTAAATGAATTTTGTGCACAACATGGCATTATTCATCAAACTACAGCCCCTTATTCTCCACAGCAAAATGGAATTGCTGAAAGGAAGAATAGAACCTTAAAAGAAATGATGAATGCCATGTTACTAAGTTCAGGCTTACCACAGAACTTGTGGGGGGAAGCAATATTGTTTGCTAATTATGTTCTTAATAGAATACCCCACAAGAAAACCAACAGCACTCCTTATAAATTGTAGAAAGGTCGATCGCCTTCCTACAAATATTTAAAAGTGTGGGGGTGTTTGGCAAAAGTTGAAACTCCTGTTCCTAAAAAGACTAAGATTGGACCAAAAACAATAGACTGTGTGTTTATTGGTTATGCTCAGAATAGTAGTGCATATCGGTTTCTGACTTATAAATCAGAAATACCTGATATAAATGTGAACACTATTATAGAGTCAAGGAATGCTGTGTTTTTTGAACAGATCTTTCCTTACAAGAAAGGACAGGAATTAAGTTCACAAAAAAAAGAACTTATGATTGTACACAAAGTCAAAAGACTAATGACAATCAAACACAAGAGACTAGTAATAGTCTCAACCAACAGGATTTAACTAATGATGAACCAAGACGAAGTAAAAGAGCGAGAACATCAAAATCCTTTGGTCCAGATTTTCTGACATACTTGTTAGAAAATGAACCTCAAAGCTTTAAGGCAGCAATGACAGGTCCTGAAGCACCTTTGTGGAAAGAGGCTGTTAATAATGAAATTGAATCCATTATGCAAAATCATACTTGGGAATTTGACAATATGCTGTATAATGTATACAGTCCTCTGAAAACAGCAAAAGAATTGTGGAATTCTTTGGAGAAGAAATACAAGACAGAAGATGCCGGCACGAAGAAATTTGTCATCGGTAAATTTCTGGACTTTGTTATGATAGACTCTCAAACGGTAATATCTCAAGTTCAAAGTTTTCAAATAATTTTGCATGATATTCATTCAGAAGGTATGTCTCTTAGCGAGTCATTCCAAGTCGCTGCTTTAGTGGAAAAGTTACCACCAA